AGGACGCCACTTTCCAAACCCCCAGCCAGAGAGCACGCCAAGGCCGAGGGAGGCGCGCATGCCACCGGCCCTTTAAAGTGTGCTTGCGAAATAGACTTGCCCAAACTTGGACTTCTTTCTTGAAAACTTGGGTTTGCTTGTTAATTCCAAAGGGAAACCATGGCACTGGTACAATGGAGAAGCTTGTCAATCTCCTTAATCGAGGATCCTGAGGAGGGACCCCACACCACTCCTGTGGTCTTCCTGCCCCCAGAATGCATAACCTGAGTTTAACCACGAGGAAACATCAGACAAACCCAGACTGAGGGACATCTTCAAATCCACTGGCCCCATATACTTAGAAACCATCAATGTCCCAAATGACGGCCAAAAGCTGAGGAACTGCCCAGACTCAACAAACTAAAGAGGCCACTACAATTAAGTGCCATGTGGGATCGTGGACATGGATTGATGCCTAAGTAGGAAAAAAGACATTGCTCTAAGGAAACTATCAGGCAATTAGTAAAATGTCAATATGGACTATATGTCAGATAATACCTCGATGTTAAGTTTTCTGAGTTTGATCTTTGTATACTGGTTATAAGAGACTGTCCCTACATGCTAAAGTATTTAGGAATAAAGGATCATGGTGTCTGCAACTCACTTTCAAATGATTTGGCAAAAATAATAATTGTAACATCTACATATAGAGAGATTCAAACAAATGAGGGAAATTGGTAAATCTAAGGGAAAGGTATGTGGATCAGCACTACCTTATCCTTGAGACTTCTCTGTTGGTTTGAATTCAAAATAAAGACAATTAAAAAAAAAAAAAAAAAGGAACATCAGTTACATGCTTAGCTGCATCTCCCAGATACTATTCATGTCACAGCTACAGTGGGACACCAGAGAGTTAAGGTGGGACTCTGAAGACATCACACACACACACACACACACACACACACACACACACACGGGCAATGGGCAAAGCCCTGGTGGGTGCTGAGCTTTTGCTCCCGTTGCTCAAAATATCTGACGCAGCTTACCAAACGCACAGGAAAATTGGTTGCACTACATTATAATCACATCTTGCTTTTGACCCCAAACAGCTCTATCCACCTAATTAACAAGCCTGGCTTCTGAAAGGATTATAGACTATTGGAAGGAAACCAAGGCTCAGAGGAGGAAACTGAGGCTCAGAGGGATATTCATTTGCCAAGGTCACATCTAATCCCATGACTCCCAGGCCAGTGCTGTTTTCGGGCTTCTGTTCTGGGAAACTTTAGAGCATCTACCAGGCCTTTTGGCTTTTTGCAAAACTCAAGAGAGGAAGATTTTTGTTTCCCCAAGAAAATATATTTTTTTAATGTACAATTGACATTGAGAGCAGTTGCAGAAAGAGGGGACAAAAATATTCTTAACAGCAGAGGAGAGGCCTGGGTATTTCTCCCCCTTCACGTGGCCCCGCCTCCGCCTCCAGCTCCCGCGGGATTCCAGGGGCATCATTTCCTCCTGGGGCCCCCAGACCAGGGGCAGTACCAGCTTCTCTCTGTCCCGGGAACTCACCACCCCTCGCTGGCACCTCTGCCCTGCCCACTCCTCCACAGACAGTCCCTCACTCAAGTTCCTGTGGCTGAACTATCTTCAAGCGGAATTCTATTTCCTGTAGGGACCCTGACAGACACAAAAATGAGTTTAAGCTGATGAAAAATATTAACTACCACTTGCAAGCACGTGATGCATTCCAAAATAATTCCATTTCCCAAATGTCCCTTTAACCACACCACTTCCCACAGTCGCACTGCCTGTAGCCAGGGGCACTGCCAGGCTGCAGTCCCCACTACTGTTCAATGCTCAAAACCTCCTTCCCAGCCTCAAAACATCCTTCCCACTCTCCCGATACTGCTCCCACAGAACTGAGACCTGAGTTTAAATCTCGCGGATCTGGACCCTGCAGGACTTTGGGGACTAACTTGGACCATCCCCATCAGGGGCTGAAAGAGGGCAGGGTGGGTGGCGATGCAGGTGTCAGGAGGAACAGAAGGAGGGAGGGGAATGAGTGGGCAGGCAGGACAGGCAAAGAAACCAGCTGGGATGGGCCCCCTTGTGCCCCTCCAGGCCCTGGCACTCCTCCGTGGTGCCCCTATGGTAACACTGCAGGATGGAGGCTCCTGTTCTGTGGCCACTGCCTCTACCCAGGGCCCGATGTAGAAAGAGGGCAGCCAGTTGCCATGTTCCTTTTCCACCTTACTCACCAGCCCCTGACTGTCCCAGCCAATGAGATCCTGTCTTGTGAGCTATCACCATCCTCACCATCCTCACCAGCGCAGTAGAAGTGCCCTTTACACTTGTGTATTTCCAGAGTTCAGAGCATTCGTTTCCCACATCCACCAAATTGTTTGGTCTGTGGAGGTCAGCAGAGGATTCTGAGTCCAGTGGGACTCAGAAAATACTTATCGAATGAGTCATCACTAGCTTACATCACCCCTTCCTCAAGCTTAAAAAAACCCACATTTAATTGATAACTTGTTGGATAACCTGGGTAGTTCTGCCCAAGGGATCTTTCCAGCGTCCCAGTGGGCATCCCCCCAGCTGTGTACACAAGTGCACCCCACTATCACCCACTCATCCCACCCTCCGGACCCCTGGGCCACACATCTCAGGAAGCATGTGCACTGTCCCACCCCACATACCTGTCAGCTTCAGAACTGAGGAAGGATCAGGAATCAGACTTTGACCTGTGGTTGAGTGACAGAAGCACCCTTGGAGGTCCCCAGTAGGTGTGTGCCCTCACTCTTGAATGTGTGGAGGGGCTCATAGCCCCTCTAGGACTCCATACCCACCCCCATGCTCTATAAATTAGCACGTGAATGCTAAACTGTGCCATGAATGCTAAACGTGTAAATGTGGTGCCTTGCAGAGTAGACACCCAGACACCCTACGGATACTATCCCTTTTTATGGGCAAGGAAACTGAGGCTCAAGGAGGGTTAAGCGTCTTGCCCAATTCACAAAAGCAGCTGTTGGTCAGTCATCTTAAGAAAAGCAATAGGGGGATCAAATGCCTCCCTTGTTACCTAGCTCTTTCCAAAACCAACAGCCACCCTGGAGCTCCAACACCCCCAGGGACACAGGCTGTGCTGGCTGAGGTGGGAATGAATGGACAGAGCTGGCAAACACTGATCTGAAACCCAAGCAAGGGCAGGTGGAGCCCACCCTGGGCAGGTCCCACTGCTATGGGCAGAAACCCCTGACAAGCTGTCCTGGAGAGGGCGGGAGGGGGTGGCATCTATTATCTGGTCTAAGGATGGGCGGAGAGCTGCGTCCACTGGCAGAAAGGCGGCAGCTCTGGGGGTGGTGAGGGGGATGATCTTAGTCTACTTGCTTCAGTATAAGAGGGCACTACCCTCTGCTCAGCAATGACCAACATTAGGAGCCACATCCTACCAGGCTCCCCCACCATGTACTGTCTGCAGAGCTGGAAATCAAAAGGGAACTTTGGTCAGAAGGGATCTGTCAAAGTTTAGCCCTAAAATGGAATAGAAGGAACCATGAAGACATCTGATACAAGATCAGCACCCATTTCAAAGAGGAAACTGAGGGCCACCCAGCAAAGCCGCAGCCCATCAGAGTTAGATGGCAGGCCTGCGACTCACAGCCAGACCCCTTTCTACCACTGCAATGGCCTTTTTTAGAATTTGCATCTGTACTGTTTTACCAGTTTAGAGCCATTTCTGAATCATGTATTCATATCCGAGGCGGCAAAGACGATGAGTGGGCCCTGGGGCCGGCCGCCGGCGTACCAAGCCTCTCCGGACTTCTCAGCAATGGTGCAGCCAGCCCCTCCAGGAGTATCAAAAAGCCACAAATTCCTTCCATCACCCATGAATGACACCAGTGATGCCACTGGTGGATGGGGGGGGACTGTCAGAGCTGGTGTGCTGCCTCCTCAGGCTCCTTCCCCCCAACACACAATGCAAAGGCACAAGGCTTCAGGGTTAATAAACAGCTTTATTTGCCTTTGACAGCATCGATTTTCTTACATTCTGGATTAAGTTGCCATTAAAGTGCGGGGAAATTTCTTAATCATGGTAACATTTGTTAAGGGAAATCAGAACTAGTATCAGGAACATGGTGGCCATGAAGAAAACATTTTCCTCACAATGCACAGAATGGAGGCCCCTCGTGATGAGCTGGGGGGTTGGCCAATTTGCAAACAGTTTCCAATTCCCTCTCTCCGGCGAGCACCCCGCTGGCTGGGACCACCAACCCTGGGGGAAAAGCAATGCTAAAGAATTCTACAAAAAC